GTAAAGAAGCTGAAAGCAGGAAGAGGACATCATATTGCTGGTTAATTACACCAAATGTTCCCCAGTGGATGAAAATGTGTACCTTCTAAATTGAAACAAAAATATCCGCGTACAGAAAGATATTGCAATAATACGTTTTACTCATACCAACACAGTAATCCCATTAATAATGTCACCTATGGTCATTTTGTAAAAACTATCACAGCATGTTTGTCATTATTTTATTCCTTCAGCAGCCATCAAGCTCCTTATGTACGTAGTCTAAACTGAACTGTACAGTCCTTCCCCCACAATGTCCTCCACCAATGTCCTTGTGTTTACAAAAACTGGGATTCCCACTTTACAGTCCTTCCCCCCACAGACTATGTGAGTGCACAACATACCTAAGCTGGAAATAGGTGGGTAAAATTTGGACTGAAAAATTTTAGGAAAAGAATGTTCTATGAAAGTTTGGCTTTTCTAATCAGTGGATAAAATCAGCGTTCATTTTCAATCTGTCTAGGAAATTCGAAGGAGCAGGATGGGAAATTTTTCCCGTCTGAACGAATTTCAAACAATGTTTGTGGTTTTCATTTTGTAAAGTCCATTCATTTCAAATATCAAAAGCAAACAACATTTTTTGAACAACATTTGAATGTTTTTGAGAATTTTCCCAAAACTTCCTAAGAATTTTCATTCGAAATTCTATCCATATATGGCCAGCTTTACTGTACAATCCTTCCTCCACTATGTTCTCCATTAAGGTCTCTGTATGTGTACAAAAACTGATCTTCACTGAAGAGTCCCTCCCCTACTATGTCCTCCATCAAAGTCTCTGTATGTGTACAACAAACTACAATTGTCACAGACGAGTCCCTCCCCTACTATGTCCTCCCTCAAAGTCCCTGTATGTGTACAACAAACTGTGATTCTCACTGAAGAGTCCTTCCCCTACTATGTCCTCCATCAATGCGCCTGTATGTGTACAACAAACTACGATCCTTACTGAAGAGCTCTTCCCATTCTATTTCCTCCATCAAAGTCCCTGTATGTGTACAACAAACTGATCTTCACTGTACAGTCCTTCCCCCACTATGACCTCCAGCAAAACCCTGTATGTGTAAAACAAACTACGATCCTCACTGAAGAGTCCTTCCCATACTCTGTCCTCAATCAAAGTCCCTGTATGTGTACAAGCTATGATCCTCACTGAAGAGTCCTTCCCATACTCTGTCCTCAATCAAAGTCCCTGTATGTGTACAAAGCTATGATCCTCACTGAAGAGTCCTTCCCATACTCTGTCCTCAATCAAAGTCCCTGTATGTGTACAAGCTATGATCCTCACTGTACAGTCCTTCCCCCACTATGTCCTACAACAAGGTCCCTGTATGTGTACAACAAACTATGATCCTCACTGATGTGTCCTGCCCCTACTATGTACTTCATCAATGTTCCTGTATGTGAAGGGCAAATCTGGAAAGATTTTTCTTCCCCCATTATGTTTACCATCAAAGTTCTTGCATGTATACATCAGTCTGTGATCCCCACTGTACAGTGTGGCCTCCATCAAAGTCCCTGCATGTGTGCAGCTAACTGGGATCCTTGCTGTATTTTTCTTCCCCTATTATGTCCTCCATCAAAGTCCCTGTATGTGTACGGCAAACTGGAATCCTAAGGGCCCATTCACATCAGATGCAATTGGATGCATTTTTGACTGAATTCCAGCTGCACAGACGGACCAAACTGCAGGTTATCCTATGGGCATAGTACACACCATTACAGTGCAGTGCAAAAAAAGTACAGAAATTTGTATTTTTCCACACCACAAGCATGTTAAAATTTGCACACACAGCAACGCATTGCTGTGTGCAAAAAAAACCCAAATAAAGAAAGGAGGAAGTGACCTCACAGGACAAACGAGGATGGAACAATGTCATCAACTGCATGCAAAAGTGCATAAAAGCGACGCACAATAGCTGTGCAGTTTCTGGTGTGAATGGGCCCTTACTGTAGAGTCCTTCCACTGCTATGCTCTCCAAGTGCAGGAAGCAGCTAAGCAACACAGATATACAGGTGAAACTCGAAAAATTAGAATATAGTGCAAAAGTTAATTTATTTCATTTAATGCAACTTAAAAGGTGAAAGTAATATATGAGATAGACTCATTACATGCAAAGCAAGATAGTTCAAGCCGTGATTTGTCATAATTCTGATGATTATGGCTTACAGCTCATGAAAACCCCAAATCCACAATCTCAGAAAATTAGAATATTGTGAAAAGGTGCAATATTCTCGGCTCAAAGTGTCCCACTCTAATCAGCTAATTAAACCATAACACCTGCAAAGGGTTCCTGAGCCTTTAAATGGTCTCTCAGTCTGGTTCAGTAGGAATCACAATCATGGGAAAGACTGCTGACCTAACAGTTGTGCAGAAAACCATCATTGACACCCTCCATAAGGAGGGAAAGCCTCAAAAGGTAATTGCAAAAGAAGTTGGATGTTCCCAAAGTGCTGTATCAAAGCACATTAATAGAAAGTTATGTGGAAGGGAAAAGTGTGGAAGAAAAATGTGCACAAGCAGCAGGGATGACTGCAGCCTGGAGAGGATTGTCAGGAAAAGGCCATTTAAAAGTGTTGAGGACTTTCACAAGGAGGGGACTGAGGCTGGAGTCAGTGCCTCAAGAGCCACCACACACAGGCGGATCCTGGACATGGGCTTCAAATGTCGTATTCCTCTTGTCAAGCCGCTCCTGAACAACAAACAACGTCACAAGCGTCTTACCTGGGTAAAGAAAAACAGACCTGGCCTGTTGCTCAGTGGTCCAAAGTCCTCTTTTCTGATAAGAGCAACGTTTGCATCTCATTTGGAAACCAAGGACCCAGAGTATGGAGAAAGAATGGAGAGGCACACACTGCAAGATGCTTGAAGTCCAGTGTGAAGTTTCCACAGTCTGTGTTGATTTGGGGAGCCATGTCATCTGCTGGTGTTGGTCCACTGTGCTTCATTAAGTAGAGGGTCAGCGCAGCAGTCTACCAGGAGATTTTGGAGCACTTCATGCTTCCTTCTGCAGACGAGCTTTATGGGGATGCTGACTTCATTTTCCAGCATGACTTGGCACCTGCCCACACTGTCAAAAGCACCAAAACCTGGTTCAATGACCTGTGGGATTACTGCGCTTGATTGGCCAGCAAACTCGCCTGACCTTAACCCCATAGAGAATCTATGGGGCATTACCAAGAGAAAGATGAGTGGCATGAGACCGAACAATGCAGAAGAACTCAAGACCGCTATTGAAGCATCCTGGTCTTCCATAACACCTCAGCAGTGCCACAGGCTGATAGCTTCCATGCCACGCTGCATTGAGGTAGTAATTGCTGCAAAAGGGTCCCAAACCAAGTACTGAGTACATATGCATGCTTATACTTTTCAGAGGTCCGATATTGTTCTATGTACAATCCTTGTTTTATTGATTGCATGTAATATTCTAATTTTCTGAGATTGTGGATTTGGGGTTTTCATGAGCTGTAAGCCATAATCATCACAACCTATGACAAATCACGGCCTGAACTATCTTGCTTTGCATGTAATGAGTCTATCTCATATATTAGTTTCACCTTTTAAGTTGCATTTCTGAAATAAATGAACTTTTGCACGATATTCTAATTTTTCGAGTTTCACCTGTATGTACAAACACTGAACTCCAGCCTTACCTTCAGTCTTGCACAGCTGTGCAGGCACCCCTTCTGTACTAAAAATGCTTACTCTGATTTCACAGCACACTGTGACCTTCTCACAGAGTACACCAGAAGCTGCAGCAAATCAAATAAAGCCCACATCATTTCCTGACTGGAGGCCATCCAGCATCATCTAACTCTTTCTTCCCAGCCTCGCCTTTCATTCAGTTTCAGTTCTTCCAATCAGGGAGGCTGTTACCTAAAGTATTCATCATGTAACTGCAGTCTGCCTAGGAATGCCCACTTCACCAGACTGACATCCACCCATTAAAGCAATTTGATGCCTTACATTTGCACTGCTTGCACCAGGGTGGAGTTGAGGCTTAAATACAAGAAGACCTACGCAGAAAGGCAGTGTAGAAGACAGCAGTGAAAAGTATTTAATCTATCGCAACCAATCAGTATTATCGGTCTACAGAAAAATAGCCAATCAGAAATCTGGTCCTGCACATCTTCAATGTAGTCTTTACTGCCTTAAAAAGAAGTCCACTAATGTCTCCATATAGGCCGTGCCATTGGACGGTATGAAAACATAGACATTTTGCTTTATAATCTGCAAAGTAGTGGTGTGATGCTGCAATCCAACCAATGTAAAAGAAGCTCCACGTGTGCCCATACCACAGCCACACAAGCTGTCAGGTAAGTATCCAAATGAAGAGGTTGGCAACACAGTGTGCTACCATGCTTCAGCCCGGGTGGGCTTTAGATTGGCAAAAACCCACCCGGGCTGAAATGCGTCGACTCTTTGTATTGGATTTCTTGCACTCCTGTCCTGCTTAATTAATAAGATTTTAGGAGCATAGCACACTTCTGACCTTTTTGAATATTTTGCTTTATAAACAGGATGTTGTGCACTGAAAAAGCACATTCAACAAAACACATCTTTTCCACTAAAAACTAATTTCCCATCTGATTTCAGCATAAATACAGTTGATGTTAGCATGTAAAGCAGCTGAAGAGAATGTCATTTTATTTAGAATTATGCAGTTTTAGCTTCTTTCTGTACATGAATGTAAACGAAAGAGAAACCAATCAGATAAAACGTTGCAAATTTCACATATAACTGACAAAATCTAAAAAAATATCTGATTGGTTGCGAAGCATTAATTGCATTCGAGTCACCCTTGTGTTATCTGGTATGTAGTAGTGACAGAGGCACTATAAAAACTTGCACAGTGACAGTTGTTACCAAAGAATGGAATACATTTTAAAATGTTAGGTGTAATTGACATTAGGCAATTCTTTAAATTTCACTGAAATTGATTATTGCAAAACTTAACTCTTACCTCATTAAGGGCACACATACGGGCAATTGACCCTATGTTATTTGTAATGGTAACCAGTGTCGCTCTTGCCAAGTCCTCCTTACTGATGGTATCTCTTTTTTCCTTGCTCATCATATGGCCAAAACTTTTTTAGGGAGAAAAATTAGAAACAATAAAAAGAATTAACTATCAGAAGTAACATGCTTTTATCCACTGATGCATATGCTTTTTACATTTTTTGTGGCAAATTAAAATGAAGTATATATACAATAACCACCTCCAATTACTGTGACTCCCCCACAACACAAATCAACACCCTTCCCTAAAGGTGTACAAAATTATAATCAGTGAAAAACTCATTTTCACTGATATAAATTAAAATGAAGGTTAGGTATGGATTACGTATACTGAATGACAACATGACATGAAAAACACAATCTTTCCCATCCATCACAGTACTCCCTTTAATGAATAATTGCTTATAAAAAAGCTTTCCCATGCTAATCCTCAGAATGTTGTAGCTAAAGTCAAGCGACCAAGTGCCTAGACATATGATCATGTGACATAGTCCAAAGTGCCATTCTGTTCAGCACTGGTAAGTTTTTTTTTTTTCATGATTCATTGTTGGATGGCAGGGTAGTTTCATAAAGCCACTTTCGTATAATCCTTTCTATTGACACTGTGCTTCACCAGACTAGCAGGCTGATTTAAGCCAGTCATGGACGGACGGATTTGGCTGGTTCAGCAGGCACCGGCCATATTTAGATCCATCTATGGGCAGGCTGGCTGTACTGATGTTGATCTATCCATCGACTTCAGTACAACCAGCCTGTCATTTCTTTTTCATACAATTTCTGCTGCTGGTTATAGTATTGCTCATAGCTTTCTGATGGCTGGAAAACCTCATGCTGTCAGAACACAACAGCACAGCAGGTGTGATCTCCCCCATCAACCCATAATTGAAGCAAAGAAAATTGTATAATGTATGGCCAGCTTTAGTAAAGGAGTTGAAAATCTTCACTCAAACTGTGTGAATATCCACTTCAATCATGTGAAAATGCACATTCCAGTGGTCAGCTGCACATAAACTGGGTTATCAAAAGTGAACAGGAATTTGCTCATCACATGACTGAATAACTGAACTGAGTGAGTATTCATGCAGTTTAATGAGTGAAGATTTGTCAGTAAGGCTGCCCATAGATAAAGAGATTTCCCCCATTCATACAATCAAGATGGATAGAGGAATCCTCTCTGCCATGCCATAGCATTCTGACAGTGAGAACTCACCGCTGTCAGAATACACTGCTCAGCATCTGCAGCCACTGATCGACAAAAGTTTTCCAACACTCCCTTTCAAAAGAAGACGATCATTAGATTGAATTCTGTTCATTGGGAACAGCCATACATGGATTGAAAGTTGGCCGAATTTCGATCCATGTATGGCTGTTCTATATCTGTCTCTATACATCATGTGGTTCCAATAGCCACAAGCAGGTGACTCCTTCCAACACATAACCCTATACCAGGGGTCTCCAAACGTTTCAAACAAAGGGCCAGTTTATTGTCCTTCAGAGTTTATTTCTGTCACCGGTGGGGGTAGAAAATGTCCCAAGCCAAGCATAAGAGAATAAAGTAGGAGGAGGAATAGTGCCCCATCATTGGTATGAGTAGAAGTCATAGTACCACATCATAGATATCAATGGAAGAAATACTGCCCCAGTGTTAGTGAGAGGAATAGTGTTCATATCATTGGAAGGAATAGTGCCCCAGGGGCAGGACAAAGGCTAGAAAAGGGCCACATCTGGCCCTCAGGCCACAGTTTGGAGACCCCAGCCAAACTATTAAAAGCAGTTCTCCACTCTGTAACAGAAAATTAAAAGTCAGCAGCTGCAAATCCTGTAGTTGCTGACTTTTTCCAGGGCATCCAGCGCTGTCCTCACCCACGCTAGATCTTCACTAGCCTTCGGGTTCCCAGTGCCAGCATCTTAGGTGTTGGCACCTGGCTGTGACAACTTGCAGCTTCAAAACCAGATGTCCATTGCACATGCGCAAGTCATGCTGTGCTTTGTAAATGGTCCTGTAGTCTTCTGGGACTTGTCCTAGAAGACTTCGGGGAGGAAGGGAGAGAGGTACACTTCCGCTCAGATCGCTTAGGTGATCCGAGTGGAAGTGGAGCCAGTACCAGTCAAAGCTAGTTACCCACTTTACCCCCCTCCCTCCAAAACAAATTACATGCCAAATCAGGTAGAGGAGGGGGTAGGAGGACTTAAAGAAGATCTTCACCTTTTGGCTGAAGCTCTGCTTTAAATCAAAAGCTGTTCCTAGCTGCTTGAATACTTTATATTTCCCCTCTTCAACACTTGGATATTACATAGTTAGTCTGGTTGAAAAAAAAAGATAATACATCCAATAAAAAGAAAAAAAATATACAATCCATATACACAATCCTATGCCCACAGTTGATCCAGAGGAAGGGAAAAAAATCACCAACAAAGCATAATCCAATTTGCTCCAGTAGGGGAAAAAAATTCCTTCCTGATCCCCCCGAGAGGCAATCGGATATTCCCTGGATGTCTCAGCTTTCTGCCAATTTCTTTGCCTATTACCTTGTTGCTCTGGCCATCTAGTTTCCCAGTCTTGAATTATGACATGCTTGTTCCCTATCCTGTTGATCATTATTTCCCTGTCCTTCTTGTCCCAGTCCTATCCCTTCCCTAATTACCATTCACTTACCTTGTATATTGTTTGCATTGTTTAGTTTGTTTTGGTTAATTTACACTATTGTTGTTTGCTCATTGTCTATAGCTGAGTCTATTGACTTTTCAATTATCCTTTCATGGATTGCCTACACCTGGGTTACACAGAAATCACACACAAGATCTCCTGATGGGTGGGGTAGTACTTTCTCAATAGATTTGCTTTTCTCATGAAACCTGAACAATTTAGATAAGTCTGTAATAAAGGGAAGAGGGACAATTCTGAGGAATAATGTTGATAAGTCAGATACTCCTCTTGGGTTGTTAATTAGAGACATGACGGCCTGCACTGCCAAAGCATGGTGGGGTCAGACGTTTAGGGATGACACTTGTTACCTGTTGTACATAGTTGGGTGGTGGGTAAGCATGTGGATGCCTGGCTGGTTGGTCCCTACATGGGAAGAACGGCTGGATGTGATTTATGAATGTGAAGGTCATGTGATCCTGAACATTGATTCAGCACTTGCTGTAAGATCCTTCCATCGAAGCACCGCCTACACCTTTTTATCGACTGCTCCTTTTTTGTACTGTAATTGGTCTCTGTTTAAAGCATTTTTCCAGCATTGTGTGAGAACAACAAATTGATTTTTTCCTGTTTAGAAGTAGGCAGCTGTATTCTGGCAGTGGCTATGTGACTGTTGGACTGCACCTACCTGGATGTTATTGTGACAAATATATATATATATATATATATATATATATATATATATATATATAAATATATATATATATATGGTTACCTCATAAAACCTGTAATCGCACTGTTTAAAGAATATGTAAACCCAACATTTCATATTTTTTATATGTGCCTGCTGTACCATGTATGAAAAACTATCCTGTTCTCTTTGCATTGCTTCCTTTGTGTGAAAACCCTGGTGTTCTCTGCCAGTCCCTGTGCTTTTCGATTAAAAACTGACCACACTTGTCAATTTTCTGACTGGGAACTCAGCCTGCTCTCCTCATGCCAATGATCAGACTTGTTCTGACACACCCCTGCCCCCTGCACAGCCATTCACTGAGAAAAAAACAAAAAAAAAACAAAAAAATCGGTGTGATGCTGTTTCTCCTCCCCTAGTTCTTCTACAGTTGAGAACAGAAGGTATAAAATAATAGGTATTTACATTTTTTTTTATATCTATACACAAATGTTTTGCCTTTCATTTCTCTGAATGGATTGTTTTACACGGTGATGGTTTACATCACTTACGGGGCTTTGAAGGAACAAACTAAGCAGGCTGGGCAAGGAATCCCTTTTCCCAGCCCAAAGTCTAGCTCTTTGCTGGGCATTCCAAGCTCAACATACTTTTTTGAATCTGCCCCAAGACCCCCTCCCAATTGTATGGACCCTATAATTCCACAAGTTTTAGCTCTAAGGCTGCATCCATGTGAAATGCCCAAAACAGACATATTTAAAATTAAAACATATGCAGGACATGTCCTCCATGTTCCTCTTCACATCACTGAGAATCAGCCCTGAAATCCCACAGAGAAACCTAATTACTTTTATTTTGCACCTAAAGCTTTATGCTCTTGGTTATTACTCACAACACATACTGTAGATCGGGGGTCGGCAACCCATTGATCACAGTCTACCTGTCAACTGCGGTCAGGTGACAGGTAGACCACGAACAGGTACCTGCACTGCCTACCCCCACCTTATAGGTGTTGGTCCCCCTCCCACTGGGCACTGCTGGGGATTGGATTTATCTGCCCCAACTCCCTACCCTGGTGCCATAAGGCAGCCGCCTCAGGGCACCAGGGTAGCTGGGGGGCAGTAAAAAGTCACTTGCTGGGAGTTTAGATTTTTAAAATAGATGCCTTCCGACGATCCCCTTATCCCCTTTATTGTCCTCCTGGAGCAGCTGAAAGCTAGAATCTCCTCCTTGCCCTCCCGCCAGCATACAGCTGCTGCAGGAGGAAAATCCAGGGGACTGGTTCTAGTAAACGCCTCCCCCTGCTGCCCCTCCTGCCCTTGTTCCTCCTATTTTCTGCTGCCTGGCCCCTCCCCCAAGTGCTCCTCTTTCAACAGGGATCCTAAAAAAATTGTGGGGGGAAAAAAAAATTTTAAATAAAAAAACCATGACACCATCCACTGCCCTGCTGAACTGTACACTGCCCTGCTAACACCATCCACTGCCCTGCTGACTGACACTATCCACTGCTCCACTGATGGACAACAATCTCTGCTCTACTGACACATTGTCCATTGCTCTACTGACTGACACTGTCCATTTTTAAGGTAGGCCAAGTTTGTATTTTTACAGTGACATTTGTTTTATTATATTATTTTTCTACATTTTCCTTACCATTTCGTTGGGCCGTGCTAATTTCCTTTTTTTTTTCTTTTTTTTTTTTTAAATGGCGCTGAACCCTGGTGATCTTTAATCTCTTTCATGATGTTCAGGTACATTTCCACCTCCCAAGTTGCCTACCCCTGCTGTAGATGCTATTTAGACTATGCTATATAACGGTTTTTGCATTTCGGAAACTATTGTTGTCATTATCCTTTCAATAAATATATGTATGTATGGTTCTTTCCTTACTGAACAGTGCTGTGGAGTTGAGTAAATGATAAGATTGGCAGTACTGTGACCGAGTTTGTTGCAGCTGTTCAGTTTTATACAATGCTCAATTTTTTTATACAGTCACATTGTATGTTGCAGGTCAGTGGTTATTATACATGTACAAGCACAATCATGTCACCCCACAGAGATTTGTGGTATACTTTTAGAGGCATCTGCCCAGGCAGCAATATGTTGCCTCCTCACTGCCTGTTTTAGGCACCATGCAAATTTTGCACGCTTTTAAGGAGTGGTCCTATTCACTTGAATGGGTGTGTAGTAAACTGCCCGACGAACAAGCAGGGGGCCTATTTTTGCTGCGCCCATAGCATGTGTACAATCCTACTGGGCTGCTTTTAAGCTCAAGGAAAACTGAGAAACTGCCAATTCCCTGCAAAAATAAACAATCCCTATTACATTTGTAATAGGTATTCGCTCTTTTAGGCCTAGTTTAGGGTGTTTGTAAACAGCAAACTTTTATGAAGCTTTAGGCAACACAGAATGCCTTCATTCCAGGCATATATCCCTGAACAAACAGGGCTGCTCAATACATTTCAAGCCGCAGCACATTTCTGCAGGTCACAGACTGACAGGCAGTGAGACTGGACGCTGTACCTGTGCTTCCCTGTTGCATGAAAGCACGAGATGGGACACAAAGTGGCTCAATGCCCCGTGTGCAAGGGCCTAAAAGCTCTCTCTCTCTTCAGCTCCTGTTTGGAAAGGTTATTCACAGATCTTAATGGAGAATACTGACTGTCGCTTTAAACAAGCTGCTAGCAGGCTTCAACAGGCTTCCAACAAGCCTGAAGTTGTAGTGAAGTCTGCTAGTCAGCCTGTTTAAAGTGAAAGTCACCACTCCTAGTAATCTGTATTTAACATTTCCAAATGGAAGCTGAATGATACTTTTTTAAAGCTTCAACAAAGCTTGCTGAAAGCAAATTTTCTATGGTTATCCTGCACCCACTTTATGTGAATGTTACTGAACCAGTAAACTAAAACAACTGCAATATTTTATATATTACGAATATGCCATGTGCAGCAAAGTGTTCCCACACCTCCCTGTAATTATAAAGTGCAAAGAAAATATACTCTGCAACCATAGAAAACACCATAACAAAATCTAATATTACAAGTTAACCACAACAATTAAAATTGTGTATATATTACAAACACCTAAATTACTATATTCATTAAAATAAACAGAATCAACAACTTCAAGTCCCATTAAAGTGTCCACAGTTTATATGTATATGCCTTCAATTATCTTCCAAAAATATACGTACGGAGTCTGTAAATAAGAGAGGAGCAGAACAAAGGACCTCATTAAAGGAAACAAGCGCTGATGACCTGTAAGAGGACAGGTCTATGAGTGGAGGTGAATGCAAGATTGAAAGGTGGTGGATACACATTTGCATGTTTAAACAACCTAGGAGGTGACACGTATATTTTTGGAAGTTAATTGAAGGTATATACATATAAACTGTGGACACTTTAATGAGACTTGAAGTTGTTAATTCTATTTATTTATTTTTAATGAATATGGCAATTTAGGTATTTGTAATACACTGCTCAAAAAAAATTAAAGGAACACTATTTAATCAGAGCATAGCTTCAAGTCAATTAAACTCCTGGGATATTGATCTGGTCAGTTAAGTAGCAGAGGGGGTTGTTAATCAGTTTCAGCTGCTTTGGTGTTAATGAAATTAACAGGTGCACTAGATGGGCCACTGAAACGACCCCCAAAACAGAAATAGTTTTACAGGTGGAGGCCACTGACATTTTTTCCTACTTATCTTTTCTGTTTTTCACTAGTTTTGCATTTGGCTAGGGTCGGTCTCAGCATGAGGTGATACCTGGACCCTACAGAGGTTGCACAGGCAGTCCAGTACTCTAGAGAGACCGTAGAAGGTCCTTAACCCATCAGCAGGACCGGTATCTGCTCCTTTGTGCAAGCAGGAACAGGATGAGTACTGCCAGAGCCCTAAAAAAGGACCTCCAGCAGGCCACTGGTGTGTATGTCTCTGACCAAACAATCAGACACAGACTTCATGAGAGTGGCCTGAGGGCCCGACGTCCTCTAGTGGGCCCTGTGCTCACTGCCCGGCACCATAGAGCCTGATTGGCATTTGCCATTGAACACCAGAATTGGCAGGTCTGCCACTTGCGCCCTGTGCTTTTTACAGATGATAGCAGGTTCACCCTGAGCACATGTGACAGATGTGAAAGGATCTGGAAAATCCGTAGAGAGAACATTATGCTGTCTGTAACATCGTTCAGCATGACTGTTTTGGTGATGGATCTGTGATGGTCTGGGGAGGCATATCCATGGAGGAACGCACAGACCTCTACAGGCTAGACAATGGCACCCTGACTGCCATGAGGTATCGGGATGAAATTCTTGGACCCATTGTCAGACTCTACGCTGGTGCAGTGGGTCCTGGGTTCCTCCTGGTGCATGATAATGCCCAGCCTCATGTGGCGAGAGTATGCAGGCAGTTCTTGGAAGATGAAGGAATTGATACCATTGAATGGCCCCCCACGCTTGCCTCACCTAAATCCAATAGAACACCTCTGGGATATCATGTTCAGTCCATCCGACAGATTGCACCTCAGACTGTCCAGGAGATCAGTGATGCCCTGGTCCAGATCTGGGAGGAAGTACTCCAGGACACCATCTGTTGTCTCATTAGGAGAATGCCCAGATGTCAGGTATGCATAAGCATGTGGGGGCCATACAAACTACTGAGTACCATTTTGAGTTGCTGCAATGAGATTTCAGGAAAATTGACTAGCCTGCAGCATAATTTTTTCACTTTAATTTTCGAGGTGTCTTTGAATTCAGTCCTCTGTAGGTTGATTTGATTTTTATTTCCATCAAACGATTTTTATTTCCATCATCCTTACATTCCTAACACATTACCCAGTCCATATCAGTAGAGATATCTAGAATGAGATTTTTCCCCCATTGTGATCTGATGTGTTTTCAAAGTGTTCCTTTAAGTTTTTTGAGCAGTGTATATACACAATTTTTATTGTGATTAACTTGTAATACTATATTTTTATGGTGTTGTATACAGCTGCACAGTAGAACAGTATATTGTTTTTGCACTTTATAATTGCAGGGAGGCGCAGCATCTCATGTATGGCATAAAAAACTTTCTGAAGGCTCTGTGTCAGGGAAAGTAAAGTACATGCAGGCGCACAGTTATGCTCCAGTGTCAGGTCCTTGGCAGTCGGATCTCTGCGCATCCGACTGGCGCCAGACGGGCTATTTAAACTGATGCTGCACTAGGAAACACTGCCTTCTGGTCTTCCCAATCCCCTCATCTGCTGTTTGTGTACTCCGATTATGTTGCTTACCTGATCTGTCCTGACCTCGTTTGAACTCCGCCCGCCCCGACCCAGCTTGACTCTGACTACTCTCTGCCTGCTCCCTGTACCTGATCTGCTTGTTAGTTATCGCCCAGCTTGTCTGACTCTGCTTCTTCCTCAGCTTGTGCCTTGTTATCTGCAGTACTGCCTAACCCTGCCTGCTGCTGCTCCTGCTACTTGCATCTTCCGCTGACCTGTATCCGCAGCTCACCTGCATCCTGTTCGTCCCAACGACACACCATCAGCTGACAGCACAGACATACCCGGCATTCGTGCTACTCCTCGTGTTCCCTGTCTACTCTATCAGGCGCACTGAGCAGGACGCCCTCACCTCCACGTCAGGCTCCCTTACCAGGTACATGACGCTCTGCAATCGCTTTGAAAATGCTTGCTGTACACACCAGGGATAGATTCAGATAATAAGCAAGTGTGAACTTAGCATTAAAGTGTTTCTATACATTTTTTAGACTCAACAACTAGTGTTACTGTATAGTTATTACCTAGAGGCAACAGCAGAGCCCTGAAGACTGAAGCGTTCGTAGTCCCCACCATAGATGTCTTTCACAAGTTTATCGACATTTGTGCTGTCTCCTTTAGCAGCCATTTCCAAAGCCTCTTCAAATGTTTCACAACCCGTCAGCAAGCAGCACAGGCCAAGGAATGTTCCTCCTCCCAGACTAAATAGATTAGGAAATAAAATTGTAAAAAAGAATTAAAAAATATCAATAAGCTTTTTTTTCTGTAATACACAAATTTTATATAACCTTATTATGGCTAGAATTACTTGGGACTTTTCCATCAAGAATACAACTATCAGTCCCTCCTCTCATGCCAGGGTGCTAGGTGTAATCATGGACTCTGACCTGTCCTTTTGGCCAAACCCAATCACTGTCAGCTTGTGGACTTCACCTCCATAACATCTCTACAGTTTGCCCCTTGTTAAACTAATGAAACCACCAAGCTACTCATTCCCTCCCTGTTATAGCTTGCCTTAAAGCAGAGTTCCACCTGAAAAAATAAAAGTCAGCAGCTACAAAAACTGTAGCTGTTGACTTTTAAAATACAGACAGACACTTACCTGTCCTATGGTCTTCAGTGGGGTGTCCTCACCACCAGGTTTCACTGGCTGTCTTCTCTCCCTGGCGCCAGCATCTTCAAAGTTGGCACCTGGTTGTGACAGCTTGCGGCTTCACAGCCTTTGTGCCCACTGTGCATATGCAAGATGTGCTGCGCTTTGTGAGACCTGTCACGTGTCCCAGAAAACTACGGGGAGGGAGGAAGACAACTTCCACTTCCAATCGCCTAGGCAATCGCAGTGGAAGTGGGAGTGGGTACCTGTCAAATTCGGGTACCCTCTCCCCCCCTGCTCCCCAAAAGGTGCCAATCCTTAACGGGGAGTGGGAGACAAAGACTTAAAGAGGAACTCCCCCGTTTGGGTGGAGCTCCGCTTTAACTATTGCAACTTCCTTCTCATAGGCCTGCCTCTCCATAGGCTATCCCCTCTTCAGTCTATCATAAATGCTGCTGCCAGACTCATCTACCTTACCAACCGCTCCGTGTCTGCCACTCCTCTCTGCCAATCCCTCCACTACCTTCAGATTGCCCAGTGAATTAAATTCAAAATAGTAACATCATCATACAATGCCATTCACAACTCTGCCCCGAGCTACATCACCAATTTTGTCTCCAAATATCACCCAAACCGTCCTCTCCACTCCTCCCAAGACCTCCTGCTCTCTAGCTCCCTTGTCTCCTCTTCCCATGCTTGCCTCCAGAACTTCGCCAAAGCCTCTCCCATCCTCTGGAACTCTCTACCTAAATCTGACTGACTATCTCCTACTCTATCCACCTTTACGCAAACCCTGATAACTCATCTCTTCACAGAAGCCTATCCTGCCTCCTCCTAACAACTGAAATTTTAACTTCTCCATTAGCTTATCTCCCACAGTTATAACCTTTTGTACCACTTGCCCCCCCCCCTATTAGATTGTAAGCTCTTTCGAGCAGAGCCCTCTTGTATTTAATTACATTGTTATTGTACCGTTTCCCTTTAGATTGTAAAGCACTACGCAAACTGTTCGCTCTACATAAATTTTGTATAACAACAATAAAACCCTTATTAAATGAGTGCTCATGCTGGTCAGTCATCAAATGATCGCATAGGATCACAGCCTACCATGATGGGCTTCTGCCTAGGTGTATTATACCGCGTAATATAAAGACTGCCAAGGAAATGAGGGCTCTGTGAATCGGTAAAGAGAATTGGAAAGCTATTCCAAAATAGCCAGAAGCCTCCTAATGTTAAGGCAATTTTAGAAATGTTTGCCTCAGCTGTTCCCAGCCAACCCTTCACTGTTTGAAGTGATTTGATGGTCAACAATTGAGATGGATAATATTAACAAATTGTCTTCAATCGGATTACAGTGGTACTGATCACTTTAAACTGTTGTTGATCATTTGGATGCTCAAAGTCTGAAACTGACCAAGCAATGCCTGGTAGATTGCTATGTACCATTTTGTTCAACTTCAACAAAAATTCAAGGGAAAACTCGCTACAAACTCCCCACATGAATGGCCAACATTACAAGGCCTTGAGGTCTGGAACTGAGGCATACCTGAATGGTTCATAGGTAGAGGATCTAGAATACAATAAGATGGGCTTCAAAGCATCAAGAAATAGAGCTACATCTGACCATGTATGTCTACCAACAATAGTGTATAGAAGTGGGAATACACCATGAGTGTTCCCATTAGCTTGCACCTTTGAAGTGTTTATTCAAGGTGTTACTAACAGCCTTGGTCACATTAATAACGCTAAATACACATTTTCAATGGGTCAATCAAAATATCACTGGGCACACTAGCTCTGGTTCAGCAGTACTCCACAACACCCCTTGAAAAACAGGGAAAAACAAAAAATGAGAATCCACATATATACAGTCCAATGAAAGTGCCAAACAAACATCCCAGAGTCCAATATTTTTTATAAAAATGGTAGCAGAACAAAAAGAACCTTTGCTGCACTTATTACCATTGCATAACTTGTCTTGTGAAACAGTTTCAAGCAGAAAAATATAGTACAAATATATTTGGTATCTGCTGATTCTGAGATTGACAAAGTGAGGTGTCTGGTTGGCCCTTGAAACATGTTGGATTTTTCTTCTTTGAATTAAGATTATCAATAAAACTTCTGGACATTTGTTTGGCTCTTTCATTGGACCGTATACACCGATCAGCCATAACTGTATGACCACCCACCTAATATTAAGCAGGTCCCCCTTTTGCTGCCAAAACATCCCTCACCCATGGAGGTATGGACAACACTAGACGTCTGAAGGCATGCTGTAGTATCTGGCACCAAGCTGTCAGTAACAGATCCTTCAAGTCCCCTAATAAGTTGCAAGGTGAAGCCTCCATGGATTGGACATCCCACAGATGCCTGATTAGATTGAGATCTGAAAAATTTGGAGGCCAATTCCACAACTCAAACTTAATGTTGTGTTCCTCAAACCATTCTTGAACCACTTTTGCAGTGTGGTAGGGCACATTATTTTGCTGACAAAAGGCCACTGCCATCTGGAAATACCATTTCCATGAAGGGATGTACTTGTTCACCAATGATGTTTAGGTAGTTGGTACATGGCAAGAAACATCCACATGAATGGCAGCACTCAAGGTTTCCCAGCAGAACATTGCCCAAAGCATCACACTGCCTCTGCCAGCTTTCCTTCTTCCAATACTGCATCCTGGTGCCATCTCTTCCCCATGTAAGTACACCCAGCTAGCCACATGATGTAAAAGAAAAAACATGATTCATCAGACCAGGCCACGTTCTTCCATTGCTCCATGGTCCAGTTCTGATGCTCTCATGCCCATTGTAGGAGCTTTTGGTTGTGAACACGGGTCAGCACGGCCATCCCGATTGCTTGGCAACTGCAAAGTTCCATATGTAAGAAACTGATGACAATTTTTTATGCTTTCATCACAGGGACAACATGTTCACTTGCTGCCCAATATATCCCACCCACTTGCAGATGCCATTGTAACAAGATAATCCTATTCACCTAACCTGTATGTGGCCATGAAATTATGGCTGGTTAGTGTATAGTAATATGGCTAGGAGTCAAACCAAAAACCCTGTTAAATCCATCTGACCAGAATCATTCAAGTCACACAGCACAACAGCCTCCTGGTCATAAAGAAAGTGATGTGTGCAATGATGTGTGTGGCCTTACTGCTTACTAATGCTTTGAATGTTTTGATATATCTTAATAGGTAATAGCTTAAAAAATATTAGATACCTGGTCCCAGTTACTCTTTTATAGTTGTCTTTAGAATATACTGCAAGGATACTGACTCCTGACCCTATATTAACCAGCAACATAGGGTAAGGATTATCAAGGCAATATGGCTTCTTCAAACACTGCTCTGGGTCCGTTGGGTTTTCAAAATAATAACACTCTGGTCGTCCATTAAATCCCACTGAATCCATGTAGAGAAGGCCCTGGATCAAGCAGTCCAGTTCATCCAGTTTATGGAGCTGGAGGTCAGCTATCTAGACAGAGAGAAACATTAAGTTAATGAATAAGCAGGTGTAAGTAGAGCAGAGGAGACAATTTCTCCAAATACAAGGGCAAAGAGCTATCTGACAGCACTTTGCTCTCCTGTACATATTGGATATTGCATAACACATATAAACAAAGTACATGATGAAATTAATGATTGCTCTGCACTTTGGGCATCTATCGTTTATTGGCAAATCCTGATATGCTAAATACTAATAAACATAAAAGATTCTGTATCAATAAGCAAAATATTGTGCAAAAACTGACTACAGTGCCAAATAAAAGGGTCAGTTCACCCAATAAACAAGCTCTGGGTAAGCATGGTTGTATCTCTCCTTCCCCCAGCCTATTATTCTTTAGACTTTAGGTGAAAGATCTCTGCGCCTCATCATCATCAAACCAGCCACATTAATATTTAGAGGGCCTCACTCTTTCCATAGGATGACAGACAATTCTGAGAGTGCTATACGGGCTCCTTGGGGGAGGAGCAAAGCTGTGAAATTTGACACTGATCAAGTGTATTTGAGCTTTTGATTCCTATAGAAGACAGTAAAATGGCTGGATTTGGTAATGATTTACTGTTCATGGAGCAGTGTTGGCATTTTGTTTTCTATAGGCATCAAAAGCCTCAAACACACTTTATCATTGTTAAATATCATAGCAGTGCTCCTCCTCCAAGGAGTCTGAACAGCATTCTCTGTAGCTTAGAGCAGCTTTAGACAGTTCATCAGAACGGTTTTGTTAAATACATTAGAATATTTTAGTCCAATATATATTGTGTTCCCCCACATAAGGTAGCATCAGGGGGAAGTGGGGTGTGTAGGCACTGAAACCGCACATCTCGCTTTCATCCTCCACAGCCTGAACAGAAGGCCTACGCTCCTACCAGATGCCTATTGTGACAACAGAGGAGCACAGTTGGAACACAGGGACAATGTTGTCACCCTATAACAGTAAGTGCCTGAACAAGTTCTGTCATGGCAGGATCACTAAGTATTTTCAAGTATCTTAAGCTGACAATTTAAAAATATTGAAAATTATTTCCTAAAAGAGAAGTATGGAGTATTTTTTAAATCATACTTACCTAGGTGAATGTAGTATTGATCCGATGCTGCATTTGTCCCCCGCTGGCTTTAAGGGTGAGAACTGAGCGACCAGATACTGGTGATTGCTCATTTCTCCCTGCTGTGCCCCCCCCATGCTCACTGCAGCATTGAACTGTGGAGGGAGCAGGAGCAGCTCAGGCTCTCAGCAGCTCACTGAGAGCCTGACTTTAAAGTTGGGATCTTTCCCCAGCCTAGAATGGCTGAGTGACGTCAGCAATCAGCAGAATTTAGCCTGTTGTCGGCGAAAAAATGGGTAACAGGAGTGCAGAATGAACTGCACTACTGTGATCCACAGACGAAGTACAGCCAAACGAGCTTTGGCTGTACTTCTCCTTAAAATTACAAGTATATTAGAAGTGTATATGAGGCTTTGCTGGTTGGCGTTACATAATGTTTACATTAAAATTATATGCAAACCCATGTATGCATGGGGTGCCGTTACAATTAAAGGATAAGTTCCCCTTTAGAAAAAAATAAATGCACTTTTTTGCAGGTAAAAAAAATGTGCATTTATTATTTTTTTCCTTGTAAGCCTTTAGAGCATTGTACCCACGATTAGCAGATTGCAGGTGCCATGTCAGGCTCCTACAGACTGTCAGTACACTGTCTGTCCATACTTCCAATATGGGCAGACAGTTATTGAAGTCCAGGAAGCTTAATGGACTATGGTAGAGCCCACCTGCACCACCGCATTTCATTGAGAACTACAAGCCATCTGCTGCAATGGCTGAGAATACTTGTAGCCATCGATTCACAAAACTCTGAATGAATGACGAGGCCATGCAAGGCTCTGCCCTGATTTCAAATTGTGACAGCGGGCGTGTAGAGAAGGTCCCCCGCCCGCTGTGACAAAGGGGGTGGATCGGAAGGGGAGGTGGTGGATGCTGAACATTTTACAGGTTATACCCTAAATATAGGTGTAATATGTAACATATTGAGAAAGGTGAACTTATCCTTTAAGGACACCGATTGTTTCAACACAGGTGATAGAAGATAGAATGCTACTTTATTGTGACTCAAAAGAAGGAAGACCAGGGAAATGGCAGATTAACCAGGTATTTACTAGCTACGCAAACACTGAAGGAACATTGATGCATACAGGCAGACATAATAGCTTTATATGTAATAAAAACAAAAACATTTCTAGAATTTTCTGGAATTACCAACATTTTAACCACTTGCCCTCCTGAGGATTTACCCCCCTTCCTCACCAGGCCATTTTTTGCGTTACGGCGCTACGTTATTTTAACTGACAATTACGTGGTCATGCAATGCTGCACCCAAATGAAATGTACAGTGAGGAACAGAAGTATTTGAACACCCTGCGATTTTACAAGTTCTCCCACTTAGAAATCATGGAGAGGTCTGAAATTCACATTATAGGTGCATTCCCACTCTGAGAGACAAAATTAAAAAACAAAAATTCAGGAAATCACATTGTATGATTTTTAAAGAATTTATTTGTCTTGCACTGCTGAACATAAGTATTTGAACACCTCAGAAAATCAGTGTTAATATTTGGTACAGAAGCCTTTGTTTGCAATTACAGAGGTCAAACGTTTCCTGTAGTTCCTGACCAGGTTTGCACACACTGCAACAGGGATTTTGGCCCACTCCTCCACACACATCTCCTCTAGATCTGTCAGGTTTCGGGGCTGTCGCTGAGCAACACAGAGTTTCAGCTCCCCCCAAAGATGTTCTATTGAATTTAGGTCTGGAGACTGGCTAGGCCACTCCAGAACCTTGATATGCTTCTTACGGAGCCACTCCTTGGTTCTCCTGGCTGTGTGCTTCGGGTCGTTGTCATGTTGGAAGACCCAGCCACGACCCATCTTCAATGCTCTGACTGAGGGAAGGAGGTTGTTGCTCAAAATCTCACAATGGCCCCATTCATCCTCTCCTTAATACAGTGCAGTCGTCCTGTCCCCTTCGCAGAAAAGCACCCCCACAGCATGATGTTACCACCCCCATGCTTCACAGTAGGGATGGTGTTCTTGGGATGCAACTCATCCTTCTTTTTCCTCCAAACACGACGAGTGAAGTTTAGACCAAAAAGTTCTACTTTGGTCTCATCTGACCACATGACTTTCTCCAATGCCTCCTCTGGATCATCCAGGTGGTCATTGGCAAACTTCAGACGGGCCTGGACATGTGATGACTTGAGCAGGGGAACCTTCCGTGCAATGCATGATTTGAAACCATGACGGCGTAGAGTTCTACCGACAGTGACCTTTGAAACTGTGGTCTCAGCTCTCTTCATGTCATTGACCAACTCCTCCCTTGTAGTTCTGGGCTGATTCCTCACCTTTCTTATCATCAGTGATACCCCACGAGGTGAGATCTTGCATGGAGCCCCAGTCCGAGGGAGACTGACAGTCAACTTTAGCCTCTTCCATTTTCTAACAATTGCTCCAACAGTTGATCTATTTTCACCAAGCTGCTTGGCAATTGCCCCGTAGCCCTTTCCAGCCTTGTGGAGGTCCACAATTTTGTCTCTGGTGTCTTTTGACAGCTCTTTAGTCTTGCCCATGGTAGTAGTTGGCATCTGACTGACTGTGGGGTGGACAGGTGTCTTTAAAGAGCTCAGACAGGTGCTACTAAGTTAGATTAATGAGTGGAATAGAGGTTGACTATTTAAAGGCACAGTAACAGGTCATTGAGAGCCAGAATTCTTGCTGTTTCTTAGGTGTTCAAATACTTAGGTTCAGCAGTGCAAGACAAATACATTCTTTAAAAATCATACAATGTGATTTCCTGAATTTTTTTTTTTAAAATTCTGTCTCTCAGAGTGGGAATGCACCTACAATGTGAAGTTCAGACCCCTCCATGATTTCTAAGTGGGAGAACTTGCAAAATCGCAGGGTGTTCAAACACTTCTGTTCTTCACTGTATGTCCTTTTTTTTCCTACGAATAGAGCTTTCTTTTGGTGGTATTTGGTAGTCTGTGCATTTTTTATTTTTTGCGTTATAAAGAGAAAAAAAAAAAAAAAAAAAAGACCCACAATTTTGAGAAATTTGAGAAAAAAAAAACAAAAAAACAATCATTTATATTTTTTGCTATTAACTGCTTCCCGTCCGCCCTAAAGCAGAAGTACCGTGACAGGGCATCACGGTGCGCAAAATCACGTATATAAACATCATTTTGCAGTACCAGGTAGGAGGTGCGTGCTCCCTACACGTGCCGCCGTTTGCGGCTGTCAATCACTGGGTCCCGGCTGGTGATTCCTTGTGACGCCCGGTGATAACTGAGCATCTCCGACGGTGGGGAAGAGCGGTTTGTAAACAAAACAGTTTCTCCCCTGTCAACTCCTGCACACTGCTTTGCATGGCTGTGCATAGCACAGCCATGCAAAGCAGTGTGCTTACAGTGAAGCACACAGACAGCATATAATGTAAAACGGCACACAGTCAACCCTTTGATTGCCCCACAGGTTAACAAATCATTACAAGGAACACTGCCATACTGACATTCCCAACAAGTAGTGTTCACCTTCTTTGGAGCAGTCAGTCAATGAAAGACGATTATTAATGAGCTACATTAATATTAAAGGCAATTGGTGTCGATTTGCTCTAATCAAGTTGTTTTTTTTTTTTTTATCCAATATAAAAAAAATAAAACATTGATTCCAAGTCTCTTCATCTAGAAGCCACTGTAGGCAATGTGGCTGCATTTTATTTATTTTTAATTCTGGTACTTCATTGTGCTGCCGTTTAGATCTGCTCCAAACTGTTCCTTTGTCAGGCTTGAGAAAAATACAATCAGCCAGCTAGGCCGGTTTCACTCGCCCTTCATGCTCTTTTTGTTGCTATGCAACAAGCTTCTGTGAGAATGGCTGTTCTGCCTGTGTTAAATAGGAAGCAAAGGATTATTCTAATGAATGCAG